ACAAAAATAATGTACGAAAAAGAATGTGAGACAAATTCTAGACACCAAGATTCAATTTCGGGTACTGTTTTTATTAGGCAACCTTATATAATATGATGCTGAACTTCGATGTTTCATTGATTCTAAGATGCACATTTTTCATTCTTTGAAATGTAGATGCATCTTAAAATCAGTTCTTCGTAAAAGTCATAGAGAAAGTTGTGGTTTCTTGGATTTGCTAAAATACAGTGTTTTGTCTTTTTAACTTTTTGAGATTAACAACTTGTCTTACTTCATGTGGACTTACTGTTAGGATCAATAGGGCTAATGTTTTCAACAGATTAGATATTTCTTATGTGCTAGATGAGGCATTTTGCTAGGCTCTTTTCATATGTTATCTGTCTTCAGGTGTTAGGATTTTAGCTATTTCTATAGTTAGTTATTATTACTGTACTACTTAAGCTTCAGAAAACTCAGTGAGGTGATAGCTTGTTCAGTTTTTATAACTGAAGAGTCTAAGACAGAGAGGGGCTTATGTAATTTAGCAGTATTACTAAATTATAGCACTTTTTCCTATATTGCCTCTTAGTTGTCTTCATTGACAGAGAAAAGCTGAAGTTAAAAGAATCTTCACACCGTTCCATAATTCAGTGGTTCTGTCTGGTTGATTATCTGCTGTTGTTCCTAATCCATCCACATTTCTAGTGTTTACTCCTGGGTCTGCATAGTGCAGTGGTCAGCCAGTGATTGGTCAGACTCTGGGCTCAGATACCTCAATCAATGACCTTTGCTTAAGGATTGGGAGTGCATTTCAAGTTTGGGCGGTCTTTAAATTTTCTGTGGCTTTTGTTTTCCACTGGGCCTTCTCATCTCTGCCCCACATGTGCATGCCTGCTCAGTCAGTCAGGAATGTGTGGGTGTTTAGACCTTCTTTGGAGTCTCCTTGGGTGGATGCACGGATTGCTTATCGAGGCCCCCTATAGCTATCTCATTTTCTAGATCTTCCTATTAAATTTCTGGCTAGTTTCCCAGTCCATTGCTTATCACAAACAGAACTGTAAGTTCAGGCTACTGAACTGCTGGTCTTCCCTGTTCATTTGCCATTGCGCTTACTAGTGTTACAGCATTGCTGAGGTTGCAGTTTTTCCATGCTCCATTTCAAATCAAGCCAGTTCTTTTACAATTACCCACCTCTCCCAAATAGAACAGCTTTGCATACCGAAATGGAGTTGGGGATAAAAGCATCCCTGGGTAAGAATGCCACATATTTCCCTGTTCTTAACCTGAAGTCATTGATTTTTTTATTACCAATTGCTCCCCAATTTGGTTGATTTTCACGACCCTGAAATTGTTGTTCAACTGTTTTGTCCAGGTTCATTGTTAGATTTTTTGGAGAAAGTTTGCTGAGCTACTTAATTTGCAATGTGAGAAATTCCATCTCTCCTTTAGATTTACTCTTATATTTACTACTTTTTTGGTATTCATTCATTCTTGCAACACAAATGTTCTATCTGGATTCACTTTCCATGTGTCTTGAAGTACATCCTCTAGAATTTTCTTTATTGAGTATGTGCTGGTGTCACATGCACTATTATTTATGAAGAATATTCCACTGCAGGTGGAATTCTAGGTTGTCAGCTGGGTATAGTGGCATATACCTATAGTCCTAGTGACTTGGGAGGCTGAGGCTTGAGGATTGCAGGTTCAAGGTCAGACTCAGCACCTTAGTGAGGCCCTATCTTGAAATAAAAAATAGAAGGACCAGGGATGTGGTTCAGTAGTAAAGTACCTACCTCTGGTTCAACCACCAGTATCCATGAATGAATGAATGAATGAATGGATAAATAAATAAATAAATAAATTCTGTGTTGTCATTTATTTTCAGGACATCGAAAGCAAAACTCCATTGCTTTCTGGCTTCTGTTTTTGCTGTTGAGAAGTCAGTGGTTTATGTGTGATTTCTTTAAAGGTCATTTTCCTGAGGGAGCACTTAGGATTCTATCTTTGTTCTATGTTTTGTTTTTTTCTTTCCCTTTTTGTTACTGGGGATTGAATCCAAGCGTGCTTTGGCACTGAGATATATTGCCAGTCTTTTTTATTTTTTTTTAAATTTTGAGACAGGGTCTTGCTAAGTTACTGAAGGTCTTGGTAAGTTGCTGAGGCTGGCCTCAAACTTGAGTCTCCTGTGTCAGCCTCCCAAATTGCTAGGTTTATAGGTGTGTACCACTGCATCCTGCTTGGTGTTCTGTAGTTTCACTTTTCACTTTATATGTCTTCATATGGCTTTACTTTTATTTACCTTACTTAGAATCTGTTGGATATTTTGGTCCTGAGAATTAATGTTTTTTTTGCTTTGTTTTGTTTTTATTGATTGATTGTGGTACTGGCAATTGAACCCAAGGGTGCTTTACCATTGGGCTACATCCTCAGCCCTTTACATTTTTTTTGAGACAGGATCTCACTAATTTGCTGAGGCTGGCCTCAAATTTGTGATCCTCCTGCCTCAGCCTCGTGAGTCTCTGGGATCACAGGCTTTCGTCACTGCACCTGACTTTTGTTTTTAAATCAGTCTAGGAAATTGATACTATTTCTTCAAGTAGTGCTGTGTCCTCTTTATTTATCCATTTTCTATTTCTAGATTGTGTGTTAAATGCATTTTAGATCTTTTCACTCTATCATGCATGTTTTTAAAAGTTTTCTCCATATTTTTCTTTTCTCTTTGTGCTGCTTTGTGTATAATTACTTACTCAGAAACTTTCTTTCCCCCCATCTTCTTGACTGCACACATTTAACATAGGAGTTTGGTGGGATTTAGTTCTGTTTCACTCATGGACTGAGGGTATACAGCCCTTTCATGGTCCCCACTCAGTGTGGAGAGCGACATCTCTAAGATGTGAGTGGGGCTTGTACTTGGGTCTTGAATTATGTCTTTGTGTCTCTAGAAGACTGCCAGGACCAAAGTCCTAAGTTTATATAGGTCAGCAGTGGCTTGCAGACAAAAGTCTTCCAGACCCCACAGTTCTCTGGGTTTTTGCCTTCTTGGTTTAGATTTTTTTTTATTTTTAAAAAATATTTTAGCTAACATTTTTCATTATTTTCAATGGGAAGATTGCCCAACCTGTCATTATCAGAAGTGGTAGGTTCCTTCTATTCACCCCTTGGACAGTATTGTCTTTTATATTTGCCCTCCACATATTTACCATCACCAATGTTCTTCGTTCCTTCTTCTTTTTTTTTTTTTTTTTTTTAATATTTTTTTAGTTGTTATTGGACCTTTACTTATTTTTCTGTGGTGCTGAGAATCGAACCCAGTGCCTCACACATGCCAGGCAAGCACTCTACCACTGAGCCACAACTCCAGCCCTTTATATTCCTTCTTGTAAATCCAGGATTCTATCTGGTGTCATTTTTCTTCAGTCTGAAGAACTTCTAGCATTTCTCATGGTATAGGTCGGCATGTTATTTGTAAACCTTAATGGTATCCTCACATTTAAATGAAATTCTGCCCCTATGTAGCAGGACTGCTAAAACAATGATAATGAGATAGAAACTGGGGATCATATAAGTATGGAATCCTGCTGGTCTTAGATTAGAATTCTAAGACAATAACTCCGGGAATGTTCAACCACTGAACTACATTCTAGCCCTTTTAATTTTATTTTTGAGATAAGGTTTTGATAAGTTGCCACGGCTTGCCTTAAACTTGCAATCCTCCTTATTTAGCTTCCCAGATGCTGGGATTACAGGTGTGTGCCACCACAGTTGGCTTGGGATTTAGTTTTTATATAGCCCAATACAAAAATGATTGCAAAATGTGCTTACTGTTTTATCATCATGCCATTTAGCCCTTTTTCTCCCTCTGGGCTTTGGGTTTTCTCCACATCCCCTCCTACTTTGTTCAGGAAAAAACTGCCACAAAGCCAAGAACAGTTACTCTTATGAAGACCTTTTTATTTACTGATTTAAATAATATGAATGTTGCTAATTTAATAAGATTGGTTATGTTTACCTCCATCAATGAAAGCCCAAACATTTACTCTAGAGGAAATGAAAGCAATTGATGCTTCATATTTAGTTTCTTTTGATGTTATTAAAAACCCTTAGAATTTTGACTTTTCAGAGAGTATTTCAACTAACTACATAAAAAGTAATGTTCATTCAGAGCGTAAAGCTGATCTTGTCACTCCTAACTTTAAAATTTCAGTGGCTCAATCTCTTATACAGAGTAGTGTTGGCTCCTTGGCAAAGTATAAAAGATCCTTCTGTTTGTTTAGTCCTTGATTCTCTCTCCATCTTTGTGTCCTTCCACTCCTGCCAACAGTTGTTCTTAGTTCCCTGACCACACTTTGCTATTTCACACCTTTGATACCTGGTGTATCATGTTTCTTTTGCCTGGAATTCCTTATTTTAGTCTGGTAAAACCTGCTTGTTCTTTAAAAGCTGAATTTCACAGCTTCTGATTCTTGCTCTGTTCCTTTAGAGTTTATTATTCCTTCCCATGCTACTGTGTACCTTTTGCATAATTCTGTTATTGAACTTTTTATGAAACAATATGATTATTTTTATTTATTTATTTGACTGCTGGGGATTAAACACAGTGCCTTGCACATGCTATACAAGTGTTCTATCATTGATTTACATCCCCTGTGATATAATTATGTTAAATAGAGATTTGAACTCCACTGTGAGTTAGAGGCTCTCTGGGTGTATTGTTTATGCTTTGGCTTTTAATAATTATTTATTAAGTGTTGAATAAATGAATGAATTGCCATTTAAAGCCACATTAATGAGACATGGGATTTTATGCTCCTTCTAGAGACTACAATAAGTAAGCAGATAAATTCAGAAGTACCATTATCACCCTCTTTGTATTAATTGGACTATCTCTTGGTTCACTTAAGTTTGCAATTTCATATATTTATGAAATCTTTTGATTTTTAAAAACAAAATGATTTGCTACCTAATTGAAATAATTATAAACAAGTTAGAGTTTTAAAGCATGTTTTAATTTCCATGAACAGAATCCAACATGGCGGAGTCTCGATTTTGGAATTATGCCAGACCGTCTTGATACATCTGTTTCTTGCTTTGTGGTGAAGATTTGGGGTGGAAAGGAGGACATCTACCAGCTGTTGATTGAATGGAAAGTCTGTTTGGATGGACTGAAGTACTTGGGTCAGCAGGTAATTTTTAGATTTTAGACTATGGTTTTCAGTGGTTGTCATTTCCAAATTAACCTAACCTTTGTACTGATGCTTCTGTCTCTACATTTTCTGTTATACAGAGAGATCTTTATGATTCTTTACATAGGCTGTTGTTTATTTCTGTTCCTTTTATTGTTAGGTTTGAATTGTTGTCTAGTTTAAAAAATATATTTAACTGAAGAAACTTATGCAGAAACACCATAATCTGCTAATTTAAGGGTTTCTTTTTTGTGTGTATGTTTCCAAGAAAGGATATGCTTTCTCACATCATTCTGCTTTTTCTGTCTTATTGGATATTCACCTCTAGAATCTGATGAAAATTAAGTTGAAATAAGAGATATGCCATTATATACCTCTCTTTTGACCAGTGAAGTGGGGTTATTCCAGAAATAAGAAGAGCTAACTGTTTATTGAGCACAGGAATGACAAATGCCTGGATTATATACTGCTACCTTTCCTCCATCTTTGCTGTTACCAGTGACTGATGTAGTTTACTGATTCTAGCACTCTCCTTCCGGAGCCTAAAAGTATAGTTGTTTCTAATAGTATTACAGGACACAGCTAGCAATCATAGTTGCATATGAAATGAAACCTGTTTGCCATCCCAGACATAGGTTATCATCATTAAGGTTTGTAGCAGCCTTATGAAGGGAAACTACTCAATATTACACAGATGGGTAGAGCCAGGATTTAAATCCAGGCCTGGATGACTTAATAAATCATTCTCTTTGTGCTATGCTACACTGGTGTATATGTGTGATATTTGGTAACCTTCAGCCCCACTTTAGAATGAGTGCCTTTTTTATTTTGTGACACTTATGGTATTACTATTAGAAGTAACACTAAAATGTTAGTCATAGGGGGCTGGGGATGTGGCTCAAGCGGGAGCGCGCTCGCCTGCCATGTGTGTGGCCTGGGTTCGATCCTCAGCACCACATACAAACAAAGATGTTGTGTCCGCCGAAAACTAAAAAATAAATATTAAAAATTCTCTCTCTCTCTCTCTCTCTTTAAAAAAAAATGTTAGTCATAGATTATTTACAACATCCTTGATTTTTAAAAAAATATTTATTTAATGTATATGTTCTGGTTTGTTTCTTTTTAAAGAAACAATTTAATCCTGCATCTTTTTTTTCAAATTGAAAAAATTCTCCACCCTCATTTTGCTTACTGTATTTTAACTTAAACATTTTTAATTAAATTATATTTTGTTTTTATAGTGCTGGGGATTGAACCCAGGGCCTTGAGCCTGCTGGGCAGGTGTTCTACCATTGAGCTATATCCCCAGCCCTACAACAGATCTCTTGGACTAACTGAAATTGTATATTTTTAAATTAACATCTCTTCCTGCATAGCCCCTGAAAACCACCATCTACTTACTACTTCTTTGAGTTAAACATATTTAGATTCCATGTACTAGTGAGGCCTTGTTCTTATCATATTCTTATTTATTTTGTGTCTTTCTATAGTGACCGGAGCAGTGCATTTAATATTTATGTTCCTTTCTTAATTCTGATTTCCTACAATTGTTGAATCTTTTTATCTTGTCCTGTTTTAGAGCTGGTCTTTTAAAAATATTTTGAGTGCTGGGGGTTGAACCCAGGACCTTGCACCATAGTAAGCATGTACTTAACCACTGAACTACATCTCCAGACCCTAGGGCTCATCTTAATTAAAACTTGTAAAACAATGACTTTTGGTGTAAGCCCTTTTTCTTCTCTTTTGGTACCAGATATTCTTGTTGCCTTTAGACTGGTACTGAGGCATATACTTTGTTTCTCTTCCCACATGCCACACCTGGCTCTCTCCAGTATGTGCTTATTGCTCATCTGAAAGTATCTACATTTTGTGGAAAATGGTGGTTCTTAACATATTGTTGCAGGTCTATAGTCTGGAATTGAGATTTTTGGCTAACGAAGGTAGTTTTAATCATGTGTTTCAACTCACACGTTCCTTAGATAATGTTCAAGTTCTCAGCTGAGTTTGTCTCTAATCTACCCTATTTCAGAAAGTCAGCATTTGGGTATCTCCTTAGGAAGTTGGCCATGGAAGGAAGTATGCTGGTGTAATAGAGAACAAAAATAAAGGGAAAATTATGTTTTTTAAAGCCAATTAGAAACTTAATAAAATTGTAGAAAGTAAAAATACCTATGAAATAATTAGGTATAACAAGTAACATACTACTAAAAACCAGATAAAATAGAATTACAAAGTTGTAGAAGAAAGTGAGACGTAAGATATATTAGGATAATAGGCAGAATCGGTTAGGTTCATTGTTCTTAGTGTTAAGGATTCAGAGTATAAGACAAGATTTTTTAGGCCACGTAAACTGATAATGATGAATACCTTCATCGAGAGCTATGGAAGTGCATAGAAGAAGTATTTAGACCAAATTGGAGAGACTCAGAGAGGGATGACTTCAGAATAAAGTTTTCTTTTTTCCTTAAGCCAGGTGTATTGAGGTATAATGTACATACAATGAATTTATCCTTTTAAAGGGTATGGTGAAGTTGACAATGTAGAGTAATCATCTCCCATAGTGAATAATGCAGTGAACATTTAAGTATAGTTCTTTGTGTTGACATAAATATCTTTCTTTTGGGTAAATTCTGAGGAATGGAATTGCTGAGTCTAATGGTTAAGCACATATCGAAATTTACATGTACTGCCAGATGGTCTCCCAAGTGAATATCACATTCAGCATTCCCATCAGCAATGTGCAATAGTTCCATTTGTTCCCCATCTTTGTTAACACTTCCTGCTGTTAGTCTTTTTTAGTCATTCTAATGGTTTAAAGTGATATCATTTTAATTTTAATTTTAATTTGCCTAATGTCAAAAAGGATATTGAGGGCTGGGGATGTGGCTCAAGCTGTAGCCTGCTCACCTGGCACTCATGCGCCCCCGGGTTCCATCCTCAGCACCACATACAAACAAAGATGTTGTGTCCGCCGAAAACTAAAAAATAAATATTCTCTCTCTCTCTCTTAAAAAAAAAAAAAAAAAGGATATTGAGCATCATACAAGTATAATGCCAGTCTTCTTTTTCTTAACAGTGTCACTCAAAGAGTGTAAGGGTTTTAATCTTTATGAAGTCCAGTGTATCAGTTTTCTTTTGAATTTCATGCTTTTTATGTGTTCTCTAAGATATATTTCCCTAATTCAAGATCACTAAGATTTTCTTTTATTTGTTTGAGGAAATTTCCATTATAAGTTTTACCTTTTAGGACTTTACATTTGCATTCATTTTGAATTAACATTTGTATGACCTACAATGTTCATTGTTTTGCAAATGAATGAACAATTATATAGGAACAATTGTAAAGGGCATTATATTTCTCAATTGAATTATTTTGTCATTATTTGAAAATCTGTATGATAAGTCATTTGTAATTGCTTCTGTTTCTGCATAGCCTGGTTCATTGAGCTCTATGTCTATCCTAAGGCCAATACCAAGTCATCTTGATTACTATACTTATAAAACTAAGTGTATCTTGAATTCATTCACCTAGTTTGAGTTTACCAACTTTTTTGTTTTTTCAGAATTTTTCTGGCTATTCATTATATATATCAGTTGAAAATTAATTTACATAAAAACAAAAGAAAAATTAATCTGGCTATTCTAGGTTTTTTGCTTTTCTATGTATACTTTAGGATCAGTTTGACAATTTCTACAAAAATCCTGCTGGGAAATTTGTTGGAAAATTTTAAGAAAATCTGGAGAGAATTGACATCTTATTAATATTGAGTCTCCTTCAATCTACAAACATGATATCTCTTCATTTATGAAACTCTTCTTCTTTGATTTGATTCACTAGTGTTTTGTAGTTTCTAGCCTGCAAATCTTGCACATAGTTTGTTAGATTTGCACCTATAGATTCCATATTTTTTGGTAATTTAAATAGGATTCCTTCAACAAATATTCCCATTTCCAATTTTTGTTGCCGGTATAATGAAAGTTTCTGTATTGAGCTCATATACTATAACTGTGCTAAACTCACTTGTAGGTTCAGAACTTTTTTTTTTTTTTGAGACTCCTTTTTACTGATTGATAAGAACACATTTAATTTCTTCCTTTATAATTTGTATATATTTTTAGTTATTTTTCTTATCATATTTCAGGGAGGCTGCAAGTACAGTGTTGAATACAAGTAGATACCGTGGATATCCTTGTTATTTTTCCTTAAACTTGGGGGAAAACATTTGAGTCTTTCAGTATAATATTAGCTATAATTTTCATAAACACTGGGTTGGTGGTTGAGTTTTGTCAAGACCTTCTTTTCACATTGCTGGTATAAACCCTACTTGGTTAAGATGGATTTTCCTTTATATGTACAGTTACAGTTTTATATGTATAAACATGTTGTTGGATTTTTATATATAGTTAGATTCAGTTTGCTAATATTATGTTAGGATTTTTTGTATCTTTATTCATAAGAGTTATTTATGCCTTTCTTGCAGTGTCCTTGTTTGTTTGGTTTGGTATGAGAGTAATGCTGATCTCAGAATGGATTGGAAAGTGTTTACTTCTGTTTTCTGGAGAAATTTTTGTAGACTTGTTGCTATTTATTCCTCTAGTGTTTGACAGAATTTTTCAGTAGAACCATCTATATGTTAATATTTCTTTGTGGGAAAGTTTTAAAGTATGACTTTATTAGATGTGGAGCTATTTGGGCTATATATGACTATTTTTGTGAGCTTTGATGATTTTTCTTCCAAAAGAGGCTGTGTATCACATCTGGCATTTCAAATTTATTGGTATAAAATTTCCTATGCTGTTACTAAATTCTTTTAATTGTGTAGGGTCTGCAATGATTCTTTCCACTTTTGTTCTTGCTACTGGTGTCTTCTGTCTTCTTTTCTGCCTGATCACTCTGACTAAATATTCATCAATTTTATTAACTTTTCAGAGATCTAGTGTTTGATTTCATTGATTATTATTTTCAATTCCATTGATTAGTATTTATTATTTTTTTCTTTTGACTGCTTCAGATTTAAGTTGCTCCTCTTTGCTAGTTACTGATCTGAGACTTTTTAAAATATATATATATATATATTTCTTAGTTGTAGATGAACACACTACCTTTATTTTATTTATTTATTTTTATATGGTGCTGAGGATCGAACCCAGTGCCTCATATGTGGAAGGCAAACGCTCAACCACTGAGCTACAACCACAGCCCCTTTTCTTTTGTTCTTAAAATAAACATTTAATAAAATTTCTTTTAAGTATTGATTCATTTATATTCCACAGATTTTTATGTTGTGCTTTCATTGAATTCCGAACATTGGCTTTTTTTTTTTTCTTTTCATTACCAGGGGTTGAATCCAGGCCCAGGCCTCTACTACTGAGCTACACACCAGCTGCCCCATTCCTCTTTTTTTGTTTTTTAAATATTGAGACAGGATCTTTCCTAAAAAATTAAAAACCTTCTAAAATTTGATGTTTTTAGATATACCGGACAGTAGGGTGTATTTTGACATATATATACATGGGTTGCAACCCATTAGAGTTTTGACCCCATTCTTTTGGTTGAACATGATCTAGAGTCACACTGGTCTCACTAAGTAGCATTGGCAGTCTTTGAATTTGTAATCCCTCTGCCTCAGTCTCCCTTGTGTCTGGCATTTCAGGAGTATGCTGTGGTACCCCTTAATCTTTTCTAATTTACCTTTTATTTCTTCTTTGAACCATGGATTAGAGATATGTTATTTGTGGATTTTCCTGATATCCTTCTCTTATTGATTTCTACTTTAATTCTGTTGAGTTTAGAGAAAATAGTTTGTATGATTTGAATCCTTTTAAGATTTATTTTGTGGTCCTAAATATTTGGTCTACTTTGGCGCATGTTTCATGAACATATCATGCGTATTCTGTCATCATTGAATGGAATGTTTTTCAGTATCAATTAAATTATGTTGTACCTGAGTAAATTTTGAATATATTAGAATTAACCAGGGGAAGAAAAGATGAGAAGAGGCACAGAAGTATGATGTGATAGAGCATAATTGATTCCTTTTATTTTTAGCTGAGGAAATCTTAGTGGCCTGAGTGATAATACAACTTGTCCAAAGTTATACATATGTTGGAGCTACAAGTGCAACCCACATTTCCTGAATAGCCTTTAAAGTTTATCAGGATGTTTTCACCAGAAGTCTTGAACTAAGCTGGATTTGACTTGGATTTTGATGACAAAGAAGGGGGAATTTGGAAATAGCTTTGTTCAAGGTGGGAATTCAAAGAATTTGTTGATTCTGCTGACATGGACTCTATAGCTTCTAGTTATGTGTGATGGCAGAAATGCTTGGACTTAGTTTAAGCGGTTAGAGCTTGGTTTATCAACAGTAATTTTATAGCCTTTAGTACTGGGGTATCTTTTTACATGTACATAATCACCTGGGGCCTCTTGAAGATCACATGAGCAAGAACCTTAATTTTCTTTAGTATTTAATTGAGAAAACAGAAGTTCAGAGAGATTAAGTGATTTGCCAAAGCTCACACAGTGCTTGGTAGATTTAGGTTGTTATTTGTTCCATGATTCAGACACTGTTTATTATTCATTTTACTAACTCTAATCAGCTGTTTTAGAAGGTGTGCTGTTTTTCATAAAGATACCAAAATATGAGGTTGTAGTTAGATTAATAGAATTTTATAGTCCATAGTTTCCCTATTAGGATTCTAATGCTATTATTGAGCCAGTATTCTTTAATGAGTAAAAGAGAGTATGTATTACACTGTTTGTGTGTGGTGCTAGTGATTGAACCCAGGTTCTTCCCCAAATTAGACAAGTGCAACACCCTCAGCCCCCATATTACACTTTTTATTATCATAGTTTAACAGTCTGCAGTGTACATACTAGTGTTCAATGTGTTACAGCCTCTTTTGTGACTCATGATTTTTTTCTTAGGAACAAAAGGCTCTTTCTGAGCTTTGTAAGTTGCCTAGTTTCTAATGCAATTATTAGATATTTTTCCCCCAATTACTTCTCATGTCTAACTTCCCAAAATACTTTCACATCCATTTCATTCCAAGTTTTTGACAAGCCTGTAGGACAGAACAAGGAGTATTTTCTGCTTTTAGCTCCTGAGATAATTAAAGCATGTGCCATTAAAATTGATTAAATGCTGTATGTTGGGCAGAGTGTAGGGCACTGGTGCTATCAAGATAAAAAAAAGTCAAGAGTTCTCTCTGAAGAGCTTCTTCTTAGAACTCAGGCCACTTAGTTTTAGCTGCATATCTTTTTAGTGTTAGAATTATTTTTCAGCTAACTAATTATTTTTCAGCATCCATCTGCATGAAGCTTATACTTTGAGAACTTTACTTTCATGCTGGATTTGTTTCTGATCCTATCTCCCCACCTACTCCTTTACTGGTATATATATTTATTTTCTTCTGATATAAACAATAATTCATGGGGACTGGGGCTGGGGCTCAGTGGTAGAGCGCTTGCCTAGCATGCAGGAGGCCTTAGGTTCCATCTCCAGCACCAAAAAAAAAAGAGAGAGAGAGAGACACACACACACACACACACACACACACACACACACACTCTCACTCAAACATAGTCTGACTAATCAAGATTGCATTTACTTGCTGGGTGAGGTGGTGCACCCTTGTAATCCCAGGGGCTTGGGAGGCCGAGGCAGGAGAATTCAGAGTTCAAAGCCAGCCTCAGCAATTTAGCAAGGCCCTAAGCAACTTAGCAAGCCCTGTCTCAAAATAAAAAGTATAAAGGGCTGGGAATGGGTCTCAGTGGTTAAGCACTCCTGAGATCAATCCCCCATACCAAAAGGAAAATAAAAAGTAATACATATTCTTTTGGACAATTTGGAAAATTTTGAAAATGGTAAAGAAGAAAAAAATTTTAAGATTGTTTAGTTGTTGATAGACCTTTATTTTCTTTACTTAAATGTGGTGCTGAGAATCTAACCCAGTGCCTCACACATGCCAGGCAGATGTTCTTCCACTGAGCCACAGCCACAGCCCAAGAAGAAAATTTTTAAAAAATATGTAATCCTCTGCCCAGCTATAATCATTGTTAACATTTTGATGAATATAATTTTAATCATTTTCCCTGGTATATATGTCTGTAAAACACTTAATATAATTTAAAATTCCCTGTCTTGAAACTGATTTCATAATGCTTTTTGTTTTGCCTTGTAATATGGAAAAACTTCTTGATTACAAATTTTTTATATAAATTATTATAAATTCATGATTGTAGACTTGTCTTTTGGTATTATTGCACTTAGTTCAAAAAAAAAAAAAAGGATGTAGGTAAATAGGAATGTGCTTTAAAACTTGTTTTAGTAGTAGAGGTTGTTATGGAAGTCAGGTGAATGTTCCCAGGAATGTTCTACTACTGTCTTGGGCTGCTTTGTCTCTCTAGCTAGAGACAGAGATCAATTATTTGGTTCTGGTATCCCTCCTTGTCTTTCTTTCATTTGAACCCTCACTTTCATATTTCACAACAGGAAAAAATTATTACTAGTTTTTAAAGTCCCACAACTCTTTCTAATAAACTAATTAAATCTATTTGTATATTTCATTGTTGGACACTTTATATTATTTTTAGTTATTTTACATCTCAATTCTTAAGTTTTTTAAAAGTTTTATTCTTCCCACCTTTTAGGTGGAACTGAGTTAGGGTTACACTGTATTGTATGCAGTACCCATCAGTAGTGTCTGAAAAACAGTGATGTGCAGATAGGAACTAAATAGCCTATTAAGACTTTATGGATTGGCTATTAATATCTTTAAATTGTGCTTTTGAAAATAGAAAATAATATTAATCTCAATGTTTTTCTAGGGCTTCATATTTTCAAAGCATTCATATAGACTAACAGGGCTGTTTTCTTTGACATCAGAGCATGTATAGTATGCTTCTGAAATCCTTCAGGAATAGCTATGACACCTCAGAATTGTTTGTGGAAAACATGTGGAATGCCTGTTATCTCAGGTGATGCTTTTATGAGACCTTTGACTAAAGCAGGAAACGCTTCTTTGATCACCTGGTCTTTTGTTAGCTGATTTGTTTTCTGCTGGTTTGTTTAATGTAGCCAGCCTTTTCCTCACCATGGAAGTAGACTGTGTTTTAACTGTCAATTCTCTGATCATGTTAAAACGTGAATGGAATGAGAAGAACTAATTGTGTGTTTTCCTCCTCTCTTAGATTCATGCCCGCAACCAAAATGAAATAATTTTTGGACTAAATGATGGCTACTATGGTGCTCCATTTGAACATAAGGTAAGAGGATTCTCCTGAAGCTTAAGTTTTGTATAGTGCAGGTGTGCCTTGCACCTGAGTAGACATAATCCTGTAAAGCTCTGTGTGAATAGAATTGTGTTTTAAGTATCATTGTTAGTTTGTTATGTAGTGTGGCTTAGGTTGAATGCTCTTGAGAGTGAAAACTTGTTTTGTAAGGCATACAACCACTCCAGTTAATCTTTTCTAAATCCAGATCATATTTTCTTAAAGGAAAACCTAAACTAACTGTTTTCTCATATTCCACATAATTCCTTGGTGGTTAAGAAAGAATGGTGAGGGGCTGGGGCTGGGGCTCAGTGGCAGAGCACTTGCCTAGCACATATGAGGCACTGGGTTCCATCCTCAGCACTGCATAAAAATAAATTAATAAAATAAAGGCATTGTATTCATCTACAACTAAAAATATTAAAAAGAAGAAAGAATGGTGAATTTTGATTAAATACAGTAGTTTTATTAAAATGTTTCAGAAGTCTTTTCTAACGTTCAGTATGTTTAAGAAGCCAAAAGTTAGTGTTTTTTTTTTTTTTTTAAATAGTCAACACTATTTCTATGTCTGAAAGCCATTAGAGCAAGGAGAGGGCAGAGAGCCTATATTCACCAAGTATTTACACTCTGGTACTCTGCCAGACAACCCGTGTTCTTTTCCCCACTTAATACTAGCCATGAACAAATATGATGAGTTTTGTCTTCTCCATTTTATAGATTAGGAAACAGATTGTGAGGGATGGACTTAGAATCTAAAAAGGAGCCAAGTTGAGATTTCATGTTATCTGCGTCTAAAACCTGTGCTCTTTCTGTTTTATGGTGTTTTACCTAAAAATTTGGAACTCTATACCTAATTTGCTCTTAGTGATCATGTTGTTTCATAATTCTTGGTTGTCTGAAATGCCATTGCTTAGCACATTCCATTCATTCAGCAGCATTTTATTGAGCACCTATTGTATGTCAGCTACTGTACTCCAAGTGCTAAGAATATAATGGGGAAGCCAGGTGCTATGGTGCACTCTTGTAGTCCAAGCCACTCGTCTGAGACAGGAGGGCACTTGAGCCCAGGAGTTCAGGTTAGCTTATTCTACTGCCTCAAGAAAGGCCTTCTTAGGGATTTGACTTTTGAAGCTGTAATCCAGCAAGGGCAGGTTAACATGCCAGAAGGCCATGAAGTAGAAGGGGGCATGGCAAGTCTGAGAGACTGAAGGAGGGTCAGAGTGATGAGGAAAAAATGATGCCAAAAGATTTTACCTAAGAACAGGGGCCTGTATTGAAGGATTTTTAGCGTGGCAGTGTTGTAAATCAGATTTGTGTTTTAATGATTTTACTCTGACTGCAATAAGGATGATTATAGAAGAGGCAAGAATCTATGTGGAAAGACAGTAAGGAGCCTCAGGTAAGAGATGTTGATACTTTAAGATAGGATTATGGTAGAATGAAGAGAACATAGATTTAGGGTTGGGAAGGTGCTAGGAATCCAACCCAGGGCCTTGCTCATGCTAGCAAATGCTCAACCACTGAGCTACACCCCCACTCCAGAAGATAGACTTAGGAAACTTTTAGGATTTAAAATCATTACGACTTGATAATAGTTTGAATTTAAGGTAGAAAAAAGATGTCAAGTATGACTTCTGGATTTCTGGCCTGGATGAAGTAATTGGATGGATTAAGGTGCCTCGTACAGAAAGCTAAGGGACACTGAGGAAGACCAGGGTTGGTGGAGGCAGATGGTGAGTTAAGACACCTTGTCATGCAGAGTTTGAGGTACCTTTGAGACATTCATGTGTGAAAGGCAAGTAGGCATTCAGATAGATGAATCTGGAGTACTGAGAGAGATCTGAATGTGGGGCCAATGGCAAATAGTTATTGAAATTATAAGTGTGGATAACAGAGAGTAGGAACAGTGAGGGGAAAAGGGATCTAAGTAACCACGCTTTGAGGCCCTCCTGCTGTTAAAAGCCAGATAGAGAAGGAGGCATTGGGAAAGTGATGAGGAGGAATGGTCAGAGGAAGAGAGTAGAGTTTCTTGTGGAATATCAGAGACTATAAAGAGAGGGAGAGAGCTTTTGTTTCATTTTTTGTTGTTGTTGGTTTTTAAACTTTGTCTTTCTGTTTATTTTTTAAGGGGATGTGAGGCCAAATAAAAAGTAAAAATTGCCCATTGGACTTAGTAAAATGTAATTATTTTAGGGGACTTTTAGGAAACTCAGTTCAAACCATGATAGAATTTTTTTTTTCTTTTTTAGAGTTTCATTTTTTGAGTTCTTATAGTATATCAGCATCCTATGTATCCTTTTGACATAAAATAAGCCACTTAGTAACTAAGCTTGTTTTTCTCCTTTCTAGTCTATAATATAGTTTTTTTTTTTTTGCATATACTTATACATGACAGTAGAATGTATTTTGACATATACATACATGTAACATAACTTCCCATTCTTGTGGTTGTACATGATGAGGGTTTCACTGGTTGCATATTCATATATGGACATAGAAAAGTTATATTGGATTCATTCTACTGTCTTTCCCATTCTCATCCTCCCCCCGCCCCTTCCAATTTGGTGAAACCACACACACACACACACACACACACACACATCCTGTTGTGAGTCAGCATCCACATATCAGAGAGAACATTCAATCTTGGGGAGATTAGCTTATTTCACCTAACATGATAGTCTCCAGTTCCATCCATTTACTGGCAAGTGCCATAATTTTATGCTTCTTTATGGCTGAGTAGTATTCCGTTGTGTATACGTACCACCTTTTCTTTATCCATTTATCTGTTGAAGGGTACCTAGTTGGTTCCATAGCTTAGCTGTTATAAGTTTCTTAAGGATAGATTTCTATATGTCTTGGGACATGTCATTTGCTTAATAAAAATGTGATTTAATCAGAATCGTGAGACTGCTACTGCTGCCGTTTGTAGTGTCCTTGCCCAAGATTAGCTATCCTGACTGCGGGGAGAGAGGCATTCAGTTCATCCTGCAGCTGGTAACAACTCACAGTCCAGCACAAGTCTGACACATAGTAATAGGGTAACATCTGATAAGTAATAGGGTAACATCTCTGATAAGAACTTTACATCTGTTATTGTATTTAATTCCCCAACAACCCTGTAGCTACATACTAGTAGTCTTTGAGGTTTGGGGTAGGCCAATAACTAGTGTTCCTTTCTTCTTAGTTTGGAACAAGTTCAGAAATAAGTTAGATGGTAGATAAATGAAGATAAGAATATTTGCTTTATGACTGACAACTGATAAGCAAATGTGGCTTAAATTCTGTGACTAAAAGAGCTGACTATAACTGAAAGGGCTTTATATATTTGCTTTTGATCTGAATCTTTTTCTCCTCAAATAACAAAATGAATGAAAATGAGACTGTCCTTTCAGGAGCAAAAAATCTGATCTTCCAAGCCAAAATCAGAGTTTGCAAATGTGTTGTAGATAGTCTATTCTTGATTGGAGAGAATCTAGAAAGAACTAAGCTATTCATGTCCAGTTTCATCTCCAAAACAACCATGTACGTCATCTGCCATTCCTGGGAAGGAGTAAGTGAAGGCATCTGAGAACTGGAAATGTTCCTTTCATGACTTCCTCTCCTAGGACATGAGTAGACAGTTTTTCTCCTGACTGGAGATGTGGGAATACAGAGTAAAATGTTTCCCTCTAGCAGTGATAACAATAGCTAATATTTAGTGAATGTCTGTGTGCCAGGCACTATTCTAAACACTTTGTATATCTTTACCTCATTTAAACTTCACAATTGTACTTTTATAGAAAGGAAAATTGGTACAGAGAAGTTATAATAACTTTTCTAAGATTCTATAGCAACTAAATAGCAGAGTTGGCATTTAAAACCAGACTGTGAGTAAATGTCTGTTGAATATGTGGTTGTGATAAGTGGTGTATTCTATTCTGTGGTTCTTCAGTTAGCCAGTTGAGAAGTCCAGCCCATCTTGTGCCTTTATCAACGTGACACATAAACCTTAAAAAAGCACTTTTTTTTTTTCTTTTAAAAGAAAGCCACAGGCAGGGTTTGCAGTCAAGATGGCATTGCATAAATATATCCGTTGAGACCCTCCTCTGCATCAGACAAAAAAGCAATAATTGATCAAAGCTGAGAAATTTAAAGAGACTTACCTTGATAAAATAAACAAATTAAAAACAAGATACTAGCCATCTCTGGAACAGAATGGAATAGAAGCATGAAGATGTAGGCAGAGTTGGCTGGAAGATGAGCTTCACAGGGCGAAAAGAACCCTGAAAGCTGAGGTAGACTTCTCTCTGTTACAGAAGGAGGCTGCAGATGACAAATAGAGAAACTGCAGAACTTTAGGGGTAATCTAATTAGAAGGGGATTTTTTTTTCTTTGTACCAGGGATTGAACTCAGGGACACTTGACCACTGAGCCACATCCCCAGCCATATTTTGTATTTTATTTAGAGACAGGGTCTCACTGAGTTGCTTAGTACCTTGCTTTTGATGAGGCTGGCTTTGAACTAAGGATCCTCCTGCTTTAGCCTCCACGCCTCTGGGATTACAGGTGTGCACTACTGCACCTACCTAGAAGGGGAAATTTTAAAAGCTATGGGAGAGGAAGGAAATATTACCTATGAATTAATAGCAGACTTCTCTTTAGCAATAGGAGATGCCAGAAGAAATATATCTTCACAGCACTGTTAACCGCTAGTATATAAATCTGTTTCTAGTGAGCTTACAGTCTGGAGTGACAGTTCACTCAATATGTGAACACAAATAGGTGTTCAAAGATAGGGACTTACCTCCCTGTAGACTTTTTACCTATAGCGAATGATGCAAATAGAAAAATGATCCCAAAGGGAGGATGTGGGATGAAAGCAAATAGCAAGGGTATAAAAATGGTTAACACATTAGTGAATATAATTAACTACTGACCATAAGCTAACAAAACAAAAAGCAATTTTTGGTAGGTGTGTTTTAAGATAAAACAAACTAGACCATTGTTATTAG